TCTCTCTCTCTCTCAGTCCGGTACTAACCTGTGAAGTTGGCGCCTTGATGCAGGTACCTCGAAGATGGAGCTGGAGCTATGGCGCCACAGGTAAGTCTTGATGGCCTCCGCCAGCCATCTCTCCCAACTCTACGATCTACCACCTACTAGCGCCCAGCGCTGAAGACTACAGCTATGGCTATGGGCGCCCAGCGCCGAAGACTACTACTAGCGCTAATACTACTGCCTAGCGCTGAAGACTACTGCAGCGCTCCTCCTGAGTGCTGCGGCCGAAACCTGAAGACTACTCGTGCCTCTGACAACTACCTGCCTGGGAAGTGCATGGGAACTTCCTATGTACTACYGGGTGTGCCTCCTGACTGCAGGCGAGCAGTCCAGGGGAGGCTGCTCTTGCCAACGCCGAAGGGAGGCAGGGGCTGCAGCTGCAGCTCCTGCTCGAGCTGGCGTGGGGAACAGGCTATTTCTGGCCTGTTCCCGAAACCCTGTTTCCGTGCCTGAGTCTTACGTAGGTCAAACACAATGAGGGCCTGAAAATGGCCCTCCGTTTCAGGCTGAAAGGCCTCTGGGCCTGAAAGGCCCAGAAATAGGCTGAAACGGAATAGGGCCTGCAGGCCCTCGTATTTCAGCTTTCAGGCTGAAACGACCGGGGCCTGTAAGCCCTAAGTTTTAGGCTTTTAGGCTGAAAGTGCGGGACGGGCCCTGCAGGGCCCGTGTGGCTACGCAGTATGCCACACATAGACGCCAAAACTGGGAGCTGTGTCACTCAAAACTGCTCTGGAGCCGGAAGAACAGACATGGCGACAGCTACAGCAGCTGCTAGAGCTAGCAGAAAACTCCCAAGGGAGGCATTTGAGCAAACCTGTGGGAACAACTGCAAGCTCTCCCATCTCCTCTGGATGCTCTCATGAGGGATCATTCCTACGGGTCTGTGCTCAATGGCTGCGGAAAAGGGGTACGGAGGTGGAACTGGTCCGTGCTCAATGCAGTTTGGAAGAAGAGACGACTCTCCACCTTTCGGTAACATGTCCGGCAGCTCAACAGCTCCGGACTTGGCGGAGAGAACACTGGCAGAAGATAACCGGAAAGTTGTGGAAGCGTTATGAACTGGAGCAATGGGTGGATTGTGCCTGGAAGACTACCAGGGAATTTGAGCAGTCAAATAGGGAGGTTGGGGCTATGTAGCCCAAGTCGCGAGAGGAATTCGACTCTGGGAGTCTGGGTATATCATGGCAAGCACGAAATGCCAGAGTCTTCAGGGAGGAAGGAAAACAGTACAGCATCAACAGCAAATGGAAGATGGAAGTACGAAATCAATTGAGAACAAAGTTAGACAAACCAGTACATCCCCGGCTATTGGCCGAGGGCCTTTTTCGGAGGCCGCCCGCCACCGATTCCATTTATCTACACGGCGCTGGGCCTCCAAAAGTTTCGTAGGCGACGAGTTTTCTTTTCAGCAAGGCTGGGGGCGTGTACTGGCGGTTTAAGAACCAAAAAAACAGGTAGACGTAGTGCCTCGCTCCACTACTGTCGACATGCACAAAAGACCAAAGTCATGGCAATGTATCTTTCTATGTTCTGGTGGAAGACTCACTCTCGTTTTTTGCAGATTCCGAGAGTAGTGGAGCGAGGACCGTAAGTACCAATAGTTTCTGAAGACCTGGGGACAAAGGAACCAGCTGGCAGCAGTAAAGACACAGGATCAACTATTGCTATCGCCATGGCTTTTTTTTTTTTTTTTTGGGGCGCCATGGCTTTTGCATGGGCGTGTACAACCTGAACACTCGGTTGCTTTTAGTCTGCAGTAGGACGGCAGAAAGTTGGCTTTTTGGGGCAGTGGAGGGGGCGTCCTTTTCAGTGGGGGGAGGGGTTAACTGAGACAGCAGTATGTCTCGGAGTGTCCCGGGTGAGAAACAGACTTAGGAGCGTTTGGACTACTACCTAGCTCCGAACCGTGGTACTCTTTCGTTAGACTTTCTCTTTCTCTTTCTTATTTCTGTGGTTTTGTTTTTCTTTTGGTTCTTTCCTTTTAGTGTAAGAAAGAAGGTAGGTAGGACACAGGGTGGATACGCTGACAAGCAGGGGGGTTTTGGCTCCTTCCTCTTCCAGGGGGGGGGGGGGGGGGGGGAGGATTATTTTGTGTGACTAATTCTCTCTCAACCAGGCTACCGTCTTCACCCGAATAGAACGCCCGGTAATTATGGGCGTATCTGGACTGAAAGTTGGGCCAAATGCAGCTATAATGACCGGGGGTTCTATTCGGGTGAAGACGGTAGTGTTACAGATTAGCCTGGTTGAGAGAGAATAAACCAGACTCGAAACGGATAGGGAGGGGGTTCCTTTTTTTAGGGGGGGTTCCGTCTTTTGATTTTCTGATTACTTTCCAGGGTATCGTGAGGACCCAGCCTCAAACTTGTTTTCATGAGCAATCAAGTGGTGTTTCTTTTCTAGAAAAAAAAAACACGGGAGGGGAAATTACTACCTACAGATTGATCACATTGGTGTTGCAATTACCAGAATGCCCCTGTCAAAGTCTACGAGAATGTGAAATAAGCCCGGTGCATTCTGACACGCCTGGACGTGCCGAATTGGCAGACAAAACTCCAGTTGGGGGCATATTGATCCTTCCTGGGGAGGAGAGGGGGGGGGAGAGAGAGGGGGAGAGAGAGGGGGAGAGAGAGGGGGGAGAGAGAGGGGGTTCGATCAGGGTCTTCTGCAGGAAATTCTCCCAGTGGGGCAAGCAATGTCAGATTCGCACGTTTTGGGGAAAGGAGGGAGTTGCAAGGAATCGAGGAAGGACGGTGAATGGGAGGGAAACAGAGAAAACAATGGGCCTCACTCCACTACACGACACTCTATATGTCTCTGGAGCTCGTAATTGTCCAGATGCACTCGAAATGCTGGACTCTTAAGAACCCACTGGGTCCAGAAAGTGTCCAAGTGCATGTAGAATGTAGAGCAGTGGAGCAAGGCTCAATGACGAACAGTGAGATAATGGAGAGTCAGCATCCGTGCCGCCCGCGTGATGCAAAAAGAAGAATGTGTAGGACTTCAGGTGTAAGTCAAGGGATCGAGACCTCCTGTACGCCGTCTGTGCCGCAAACAAGCAAGCCGGAGCTGAAGAAGCTTTTCATGATACTGGAGCTGCTCCCCAAAGGCAGGAGCAGCCTCCACGACATCCAGAAGAGTCGATTCGACGACGCCAGCATGTGCGTCTCTCCATTCATCCGCAACAAGACGCCGAACCTTATCCTCATTCCACGAATCTTGAGAGTCGGTTACCGGGCCGCCCAACTCCGCAGATGCCAACTGTTGATTGGCCTTCTTCCACTTTGCAATTCCACGCTTAGCAGCTGCGTCTATGTCCTGAGTCATCGTCTCCATTTCCGCATCAGCAATTCTGCACAATGCTTCTATGCGAACAGCCGACGAGACAGCGCCTTCGTTCGAATTGGCCAAGCTGCGCCATGTCTTCAGTTCATCTTCTCTCCTACCTTCTGTTCCATAGGCTAACGCCAACCGGCGAGTATAGTCGTACACACGATCCGTATCGCCAGCTTCCGACGACAACTGTCTTATATGTTCCCAGGCATCAATGACCTTTGCCTTGTCCCCTGTTGCAGTATGAAGCTCCGCCAGACCCTGAAGAAGAAACAAAGTTATTATTAAGTTCAGTTCTGAATACACATAACATAACCCATAACCGTTCAAACCCTCCCCCCCCCTCCCCCCTCCCCCCCCTCTCTTATTCGCCGAAAACAAAATAACCTCCCCCCCTCCCCTGACCTTCGCCTTGTCCCCTGTCGCAGGATGAAGCTCAGCCCCAGACCCTGAAGAAGAAACAAAGGGAATAAGTTCACATCCAAATAACATAACCATTCAAAAACCGTGTGGGGCAAAGACACCCAAGAAAACAGACTTAACCGCCCTCCTCCCCTTCTTCACTGAAATACACCTCCCCCCCCGCCCCCCCCCAGGGAACGACTGCTGTCCAGAATAGGGGCAACGACAGCCGCGAAAACAAACCAACCCCCCCTTCTCCCCTCCCTCTCCCGAACCTCTGCATGCGCCTCTCCGTCCCAAGAGTATAACAGCTGCAGCAAAGGATCGTAGACTCCACCGAGCAAGCACTTCACAATCTCCCTCTCTTTCCCTCCTTCTCCCACCCCCCCCCAACCGCCCCCCAGAAGCCC